GAAGAATATTGCTAATAATAAACAACAACAAAAAAATTTTCGATTTTTCCGAGATTTTTCCAAGGGGTACCCCTTCAATTTCTTCCAAATTTTCGTTTTTGGCCAATAACTCCCAAACCGTTGGATCTACGGGACAATTGCATCAGACCTTTTTTGTAGAGGACGACGAGATCTACAATTTCTGTATAAAAACTTTTTGCTAGCATTAATATTTAACGAGTTATTGACGAAAAACGAAAAAACAGTTTTTTGCAAATTACTCGTTAACTATTGACGCTAGCCAAAAGTTTTTATACAGAAATTGTAGATCTCGTCGTCCTCTACAAAAAAGGTCTGATGCAATTGTCCCGTAGATCCAACGGTTTGGGAGTTATTGGCCAAAAACGAAAATTTGGAAGAAATTGAAGGGGTACCCCTTGGAAAAATCTCGGAAAAATCGAAAATTTTTTTTTTGTTGTTTATTATTAGCAATATTCTTCCGACGTGTGATTTCTTTTTAAAAAATGCGTTTCTAAAGTGCATAAACTTTTGGGATTAACTGTATAGCCAATACATCCTTAAAATGGATAAAGTTTTTTTCATTGTTCGAAAACAAAACAAAAAGTTTGTTTCCTGACTAGAAAAATCTGGTATCCGACGTTAATATCAAACGACATCCCCGAAGGCCAACAGGGTTGTTATCGTGTGCATACGCAGGGCGTAACAGCCGATACACCTGTCCGCACCTGCCGCCTCCAACGTGAATGGAACTTAGCGGGACTTAACGTAGGCATTGTACGAAAAAAAAGTGAAAGGCAAGGCCACTTGCAAGCGGAAACTGGCTCGCGAGTGCGGGAGAGGGACCGTGAAACGACTTTGACATTGGCAATGACCGTTTTACTTGCGCAGTTATCCATGTAACGCGAAAGAACGAACCAGGATGGAAAACCGAGAGGTATCCGTCCGTTGCGAAATAAACGAATGGAACAATAGACGAATTAAACGTGTACGACAACGATGAAGACGGGTATTGTCAAACAGCCATGTCAACACCGCCGTGGCACATTATACTGACATAATCTGATTCCGGCTGTTTTGCAACTACGGATGAGTGTGCGCATTGTGTAAACGCGACTCGGTGCACTACAGAATTTCGTACCATTGTACGTTCAACGGTAGAAACGTTAGATATTTGTGTTTATGTGTTTGTGTTGCGGATAAGAATAATTCGCACGCGGATGGTAATGTAATAACTGTGAGAAAAAGTAGCGTGATCGCAAGTACATTGAATATTACTTACAATTAGTTTATTTTGAACCTGGATTGAGCTTCATGAATGAAATTGGAAAGTGAGCAACACTCGGCAGTATTTCAATAGAATAGAATACGGATTATAGTAGATCAAATATAAGTTTCAAATTTGAAACCGTTAAACGTAGAAGTCGACGGATGAATGTGTCAGAGTTAAAAAAGGCAGGGAATTAAACCGCGCCGGATCATATTTCTCGGTGGTAAAAAGAATTGTGGAAGTTCGGTGGCGAACGTGGAATGAAATAAAAGCGGTGAAAATCGAGTTCGAGGACCGCGAACACTAGGCAAGTAGTTTGTTGAATCGATCGAAGCGGAAACTAGCCCCGAGCGAAAACGTTCTGACGATTTTTGTCGCAGCAACAAGTTGGTGGGTGGGACCCGTTCGGCCTGCTGCCTTCGAAGCCCGGATACGCATTATTGTAATATTCAGCGAGGTGAATTCAAAGCCGCCAAAGGAATCCCCGGTGGATTTAATGTAGATCAGTCCATTAAGTAAACGTGAAATGCGACCCGTGAGAAAACTAAGTGCACGCCAATTATAGAAATCCTCGTCTTGCGATGCAGATTGCGTGAAGAATTCCACTCTATATACCACGAATAATTTGAAACAATTAATAATTTTCATAAGTAATTTATAAGTAACACAGGAATAATTTTTTAATAGTAATAATATTATTATATATTTTGCACATTATTTAAAGCATCATAAAAGTTACTTTTCCTTTTATAAATCACTAAAGATCATTAACTCCAATACAAGAAAAACTATTTCAAAAGTCGTTATACAAACAATTACTGTTTCTAATTAAAGCTGCTTGTGACGTGCAATTTAAATAAATAATACCTGTCGCATCAACTAACATGTTTTCCGTTTTATACACATTAAGGAACACGTTGTGTAATCTAGAGCGTGTGAAAAGCGGAGGAAGAAGAAAGAACGTCTATTTACTGAGTAAGGATGGGAGTCGAGTGGCCCTCGATTTTATGTTGGTCAGCCCTCTTTTATTGCGTCATTAATTAACGGAATGATGCGAGACGATGCGTAAACCTCGCCGTAAAAGTTAGCACACGGTGGGCCCTAAAATTAAGTGATTCACTCGTCTCGATACAAAAAATCTATTAAGAGTTTCTGTGTGGGTGATTCGAGGGTGACATAAAAGAAAATTAATTCGGAATCCTCTGTCAACGAATGGCCTTGCTTACCACAAAAGTCCACGTAAATATCGTCTACGTGAGAAGATTTCGATACGAAAACGAAATCACAATTGTCGAAAAAGATACTGAATGGATTTTACTATATGTATTACTATTATTATACAAATATTAAATATGAATTGGTTATAAGGCTTCTTCCATTCAGTTATGCATTGACAAAATCATGTAAAATATCAGATATAAAATATCATCTATGTCCATGCATACGTTTTCCAATTTTCCGTCAAGGGAGCAACTATATTTCAGTCGTATATAACATTACATAGAAAGTTTATTGCTAGCCAAAATCAGAATACTATTGGCTCTTATATTTGCTACTCAACGTTAAACAAAAAACGTGGATTAATTGAAGTAAGAAATTAAATTATTAGTTTAACTTTTCATTGAACTCGCATGTACTTAAAAGTAGCCGAGGCAAAAATTTAAATCGACTTAAAAAAATAAAATTAGGTAAAGCTTTTTTTATTGAATAATAGAGACGGATTATATCCAGGTTAGATTAAAGTGCGAGTACATAAAATTAAATTAGTTGCATCAGGATTTTCTTCTGTGCTCCAACACAGAACTATATTATAGTCGTCCTAGAAAATAGATACCATCAAAGATTCAATCATAGCGTACTGTAATGAGATTAACCCGGTTTGAAATTAACCTCCTCATCGCGGATCATCAGTGTGTGTTGGAAATGTACACCACATTTCATTTTGCCGATTCACTATGAGTGAAATTACGCGAGTACGTACATACATGCATTTATTTCAGTCTTTTTCTACGTTGCCCTAACCTAACCGAGCGAAATACGTAGGAGGGAAAGGATGTAATTTATCAGAAAGGAAGAAATATTCAGGTACGGTCAGCCGGTGTTTGTGATACGATAACTCCAAGCGATACGATTGTGAAGTGCTCGTGAAAGTTGAAGGTCATGCTGCGGAGTTCGAACACATTCACCGCGCTCCGCAACGGTTGAAATCGACGCGCGGTGAAGAGAGCAAAAAAAGATAAAACGATCCTACATACCTGAGACAAATCGGAGTCGTCACGAATCTTCACGTCCATGGTTTGGATCCCGGCGATCGCGCTCGCTGTCGCGAGCAGGAGAACCGCGGTGAACACGTAGTTGCTCGCCGACGACATAGTTCCACGTGAAATGTTCACCGCTTCCAAACAAAGAATGTCACCGTTCTCACGAAACTCACCAATCGAACTCACCAAAAACGATACAGTTCGCGAACTGCGTACGCGTATGACACGGCACAAAGAGAAAATTGTACGGAGATCGACAAGAACCGCGATCGATCGACGCGGGCGTAGCACAGTATTTTTTTTTATTCCGCGGACTGTATACCGTGAACCGAAGTCGTTTTCAAAGTCAGCGACCGCCCGTACGGTCGCGCGTCACGCGCACTCCGAAGCACGCGCGATCTTCGAATCAAAAGGAAAACGCGGCGGTGTTCGGCGAAGCACGAATAGTGAACAACGGCCTCGGCGTTACGAGCGAAAGAACTGTTTTACGAACGCGAGGATTAACGCACAGAGACTGAACGAGGAATCGAGCGATAGTATACCAACTGGCTCCCGCACTCTTTTCATAGGACGTGTCAACGATACGGAGGATGGCGCGGAACTGCGCCCTCTCCATGTCTGGACCCCCGTGGCCCCCACCACACCGCCGAAACGAGTCTTCGGTATACCGTGCCGTCGTCTCCCCTCTTCCTCGGCCGACTTTCTCCCACCCTGGTTGCGCCTGGTTCGCCGCGACATACATTCAACGCACCCGCATCAGCAATAGGACTCGTAACTGAAGAAACGGGCCGCTGCTCATTCAATTCTCTTATAATTCTTTGCCACTATTTAAGAATCATTTATACGTACAGTAGTCCCCATCCAATATCTCCGCCAAGTGTTCGCACCACGCGAGTCTCGAGTTTTACCTATGGTTAGTATTCTTCTTTCACTATTGTTGTTTAGCTCGCACAGTCCACACTCTTCATTTTTACTCATTACTAAGCACTTTGACCAACGATTCTGAGAATTCCACCTGCCCAAGTACAATAATACGAGTTGAGTACGAGCCGGACTCGGCAGCATTGTTTAATTTATTATTTCACATGGGATAAAAATCTATTGTTACATATGAAGGAAATGGTTCTTATTATTTACAGGTACATACATATAACCGTTCATTAGAATGACGTTTAAATTAGAGCATTGTATATAATGTACAATTAAGGCACATCAACATGTGCGATAATTAATGTATTTAGTATAAAGAAACATTTAATTATGCTAATAGTAACAAAAACCAATGTAGAAAGTTCATAAACAGGAGAAACATAAATTGAATTCGTCGAAATAACTTTCTCAGAGAAAGTAGAAATGATGTAATGTTTTATGATGAAAATAACAAATAGCTACTCCTTTGGGGATACAGTAGAAGCAATTAAACTATATTTTATGAAGCCGGAAGCAGAACTATATTTCGAAGTTTAATAATAATGACGTTTTAAACGTGAGCTAAAGCAGCTCTGTTACTAAAGTTTGAGTAAAAAATAGACGGGAGAACAATGGTAATATACAGAATACAATGTGATAATGAAGCAATATTAATACTCGTGAAGTGAATGTGTATAATTGAATTAGGCGAATGTTTGTGTCAGTATGCACTTTTGTTCGTTTCCCTCTGCAAAAACTTTTAGAGAGACGAACGTGCCAATTTCTGCTCACGTCACAATTTTCAATTATTGGCATGTCTTTCTATAGTCATGATGCCTTAGTGTAAATATAAATGTGTATTATGTAATCAAATTTCCAATTCTAACAATGAAAACCATTCTATGTATGTGTGCCTAATATATGCGAAAATACCAGAATTATATTTACGTTTATTGATTCTGTGAAACATTTAGTAATTCTAAATGTTTCACAGAATTTAGTGATTCTAAATGTTTCACAGAATTTAGTGATTCTAAATGTTTCACAGAATTTAGTGATTCTAAATGTTTCACAGAATTTAGTGATTCTAAATGTTTCATCAGTTTCCAGTCTCAGAAAGAAAGGAAATGTACGATGTTCACAACTATTGAAATCCTGTCAGGATCGGCACGTTTTAGAAACACGATCTTCGTGTATGTAATGCCACTACCCTTTGACCAACCACTACAGTCCTCCCCTGACAGTTTGGACAGGGAGTGACATCACGTCTACAGGCTTTCCTCGCACTAAGAGAGTTCTTTCGGGCGCTTCTATAGCTTCGCTCTTCTCCGTCCGCGAATCTGTGCCACTTGAAGTTGTTAGCCGAAAGCACAAAGTCACGCTGCTCGAAAAGTACGCCGCGCATTTAACTCGGTTATTCCATCCTGCTGAGTTTTTATCGCGGCTTATATCAGTTCCTCGGTTGCGAACAATGAACGGCGACAAACAATAGGCGATTTACTTAGAGTCACTGCCAAAAGGCGACCCGTTCGTTCGGTTGAACAACCGAGAAACCGCGAATTATAGAAGATTTAAGGATGATCATGATGGGGCGGGTACGGGGGATAGGTTGCGAATGTACGGTTAAGTACCCTCACTGATATTGCCATTAATTAATTCCGGCTTTACAGCCTCCGACCTTCTTCCGTCTTAGCGCGCCCTTAATACGCGCACTCATAGCCGTGACTTCCGTCATTAATAACCTGTGGAACAAGCGGAATTGCTTTTTAATAAAAAATTGCTCGTGAGAGTTTGCCATTGCGATCCACGAATTAAAACGTATTAGAAAGAGAGAGAGAGAGAGGAATAGCAATTGACAACGAGTCACAGAATATCTTACCACGTTCAACCGAAAGGGGTGAAGTCAATATAATTGTAAACTCGATCGCAAGTTCACTGAACACTCCCTCGGCTAGGCAGTCCAACGGACTTATAGACCGATTCTCCAAACCTCCCGGGGCAATGAGGATTAAGGAAAGATTCCGATCGCGAGTATAAACGCAACGGGCTTGCGGAACTTCCCTATTGTTCGGCTGCTCCAGTTGTACACCCGGACTCTCCGCTAAGTTTGTCCCAATCCTTCAGATAATTAGTAGTCTAGGTTCACCTGTTTGACCTCACGATCTTACGTAAGTATGCTTACGTCTTGCACTTTTGAACATAACGTTAGGATTATGGAAGTTCTCAGAAATAAGAGCCTCGTGACAATACACATTTACACGTGAGACAATATTGTATAAAGGGTTAATGTATATGTGATAATGTACTCTTACATTGTTAATCTACCGTATAACTAAATCGTGCACTTTATCGATAAATACTATTACTCAGATATAAAGTTTACTACGGTGAACATGGGTTCGATGAGTAGGCAAATACTTAGCGTACATCTACTTTAACTTCAGCTTCGAGTTACGCAGTACTTTAAACCTGAGAACGCTAACAGGTGTGATTTTACAACGGCCTGTATAAGATAGCGAAGCTCGTGAAAACAAGCCAATGAAATATCGAGCAGTTTGATACAATTAAAAGTTCCAACCGATAAAGATACATACCATGTTTCATAGAATATACAGTTTCTTCCTGGTTTTAATAAGCAAAACCCCTCTCAAACGAAAGCCAGTTTGAATTATAAGTTCACAGGATTGATTTCAGGAAAAGAAACAATATTTCCAGTAGCGTTTTGTTTCTCAGAAGAGCTGTTGTAAAAAGATTAATATCGATTTTTAGTTGCTAATAAATACGTTTACTAAACCTCTTCTTCTTGTTATCTGGTTTCTAGACGTAGCTTGCGCAAAAAACAGATACAACTGATACAACAGATACAATATCCTACATATCGAGCATTCCGCACTGGCGAGTTGGATGGTAGCAGGGTTCCGATATCTCGCTACGGGCGTTCTAGAACAAAAATCTATGGGCGTGATCGAACGGGAATCATCGATCATACGATGGTTCATGCTCGATTGAACAACGTGCTAACACTCTGCAAGCCTTTCCGAAACACATCGCTCTATATTGGCCATAAAGCATTCGCGTATGAGCTTAATTTAAGTTGCTACATCGAATTCCGTCGCAATTTTCGAACGGCGCGGCGCGCACGGATCCAACAGGCGCAAAAGTAATCGACCCGTTTCGCCCTAACGGATTTTTGATGCGACACATTAAAAGGTAAAAGGGCAGGAAGATATATGCATTTTGACGTCGCGCATTGAAGTTATTGAGCTGCGCGGTTTTGTGGAAGACTACGTGCACGAAATTATAGAATCTTTTACGTTTTGAAGCATATACTTGTCTCAGAATTAGTAGTCATAGTCACTCGGCAGAAGTGAAACCACCTAGGATGTACGTTCGTAAGGGATTGAAACATCTCGTACAAGGTATTATTTGAACAAGCTGTCGCCGTTCGCTAGCGGTGGAGAGACGAGGGATACCTAGGTGACTGCGACTGTGACAAGGAATCCGAGGAATGTAAGGACATGCTGCTATGTCTCTCGACGAGTGCGGTGCACCCTCGATTTTCAGTCCGAATGTACTAGGGAAGAGAAAAGGTAAGATATGCCTTGACACACTTTAGCGTAACCATTTCTGGGCGAGAATACCGCGCCGGAAGCCCCCTTAGGGAACTACATCGCAAGATCCAGGGAGTCCAAGTTTGCCAGCATTACTTGCTACTTCCGGTGAGGAAGAACGGGCGCGGACTGGCTTCGCGGGGGTGGAGGCAAACCGTCGGGCGGGGCTACATTGAGAAACGTATTTGTAAACATACATCCTACCCATGAGGCTCGAGCAGCCCGTGTCGCAGTAAATCCCAGTACATTAATATTAATGCGTCTTCGGCATGTACAACACACTCGTACCCTCTGCTCAGCTGGTTCTCTCCGTATCGCGCAGAAAGCATGAGAGTTCAACAGAGTTTACGGCGGAGAAACGTGTGCGGAACCTAAAGCTCTTCACAATATCTGCGTTCTGGCAGCGCACGTCGCCATCGTCGGCCCCTCTTCCGCGTTGAGTGTTTCTTATGTTTCTCGTTCGTCGAAAACGAGGCCATTTTTTACCACCAGTTTGTCGATTTCTTCAAACCTCACGAGCAATTCCTGAGTGTTTCGAGTATTCTCAGAACACTGTACAAGCATACCGTGTTTTCATGAATGATTCATGATTTTTGGTATCTGAAACGAAAGCGCGGGGAAACAAAGCTAAAACGGGTCCAGCCATCGTTGATCACGAATAACAGATATTCTGTCAACCTTTTCGAATGACAAATACTTCATCAAACTATCAATAGAGTTCTGCTGCATATGAGTGTTTAAGTCATTGTTCAATAAAGTAATGAAAAAGTCACACTTTCAACTTGTTACAAAGTTGCATAGATGTGGTATTAAATATGATCGATTTTATGAGATGAGAGACACTTCAACTAATGGAGATCTAGTACGTGATTTCAGTAGATTTTTATTATCTATAAACAATCATCCATAACCATTTCAAGCAACACTTCATAAATTACATAAAATACCTATATGTTTCAATACGTAAAACTGCAATACATTTTCGTATTCCCCGATGAAGAACGGAACTCCGGCTCGACATCGGTTCCCCTGACTACGGAAAATAATGATCGTGTCCAATAGCGTGAAAACGAGCACTATATCTCAGAATCTCGCGTCTTGTC